CTGTTCTAGTGTCTGTTGGTAACATCTTTGGAAACTAGTTTTATTTCTCATAAAGTAGAACACTTACATATATTAGGGTAAGCTAAATTAATATAGTATAAAATATACATAATACATACTTAATCTGCCATGTTTCTCTCTGACATTTTCATTCAAAATGATGGAGAAGCAAGGTAGCAAATGAAGAGGGCATATGGGTAGGTCTCCTCATAGTTCATGGTCTTTAAAATCATTGTCACTGGCTATCAAAGACTGATAACAGGATATAGTGAACACTTGTCCTAACTTACGGCTACTCCCCATCTGCCTACATTTGGAGAATTACCTCATTATCTTCCCAAAGTGATGGTCAGATCCCCAGCTCCCAATATACTCTACAGTGGGAGCTCAGGCATGGGACCCTGGGTCTGCCACTCAGATGCACTGAGTGAGGTGTTCACTCAGAAATGAGTGGCCTGAGGGGGCCCGAGGGAAGGAGGCCCCATTTTCTTGGACAGAGTACAGCAGAGGTGCGTGGCTCTTAGGAGCAGCGATGGCTGCACGATTGAGTTCCTAATGCAGAAGTGGATTGATGGATGCAATGGTAGCAGCGGCTGCACAAACTTGCATGTGGGACTGTGTGGTGGAGGCTCCTTCAGCAGGGATGGTTTGGGAGGCTTAGTCTTGAGGCTGATGCCCCAGGTCTCCCAACAATCGAAAGGGTTGACTAGCCTTCTTTTCTCCTTAAACCAGCCCAAGTGGGTTTTGTCATTTGTAACAAAGAACTCTGACCAATACACAAGGTTTATCAGTGGCAAAGTTATTTAAAACCTAGATTCCTTTACAAAGTCTCTTTAGCATTAGTAATGTTATGAGTTGTAAGTTTTGAACAAAAGGCACAACACCCTCCATTCTTTCCAGGTTTTAGATGTGGGGCTTTAGAACTTGGGCAGCAGGCAAAGCGTCAGGCAGCTGGAGATCACAGCAGGGCAGCTCTTTCCACTCCAGGCCTAGAAGAGGTAAAAAAGAAAAGAGGGGGTCTTGAGAGCACCTCCTCTGCCCCCAGCCAAGAGAAAGCAGATGAACTCTTTGCTATGGCACAAGTTTTGCTTAGAGAATCTTTTTACTTTATATTCATTTTACATATTGATTACCTTTTCAATGTGTGTTGGGGGGAAATCTTTCTGTTTGTCTGAAAATGTCTCTTGTACTTATTTCTCTAAGTGTTCAGATAATGAAGAAACTTCTCCCCAGATGGATGTAGGGATAGATCACCCAGGACTGGTGCAAATGTGCCCATCAGTGTGCGGTGCTTGGTGTTCCTCCTCCCACTTCATACTCTGTTGGCTAAGCTTAACACCTTATTTTTAGTTGGGGGGTGGGGGAGAATTCATGTGCAAACCATTATAGTAAGAGAAAAAAATATTAAAGAAACAGCTGTCAAGAGATCTGTGTCTGAAAATAACTGGAAATCTAGAGTCTCAGAGATTGCTCATTTATTAAAGCCTCAGAGCTTTTCAGTTTTAAGCTTGAGCTTCCTAGAGGAGCATGTGGGATAGTTTTCATAGTTCCTTCAGCTAGCTGACTGTTTCTAGCAAAGTCTGCTCTAGACTGTGAGCTCTTTAAGGGCAGGGAGTGTGTCCTACTCATCTTTCACTCAGGGCACCTTGTCTAGGCCTTGTCGCTTAAGAGACACTTTACAAATGTCTGCTAATGTTGGATTAACAGGTTTCATAATTCCCTTTTCTCAGGTGGCAGGAAGAATTTCCTACTCCACCCTAACTCCTTGTGTTACCTTGGGGGGCCCACCCGCTCCTGTCCTGAGAATCCCAGATTAGAACAAAACAGAAGTGAGCTGTGTGCTCATCAGGCCACCTCAGAGCCATCTCAGGGCCACAGGGATCAAGGCCATCTGGGGTACACTTTGGATTTTTGACAAGATGAGAAGAAAAGCCCAGGCAAAGAAAGACTTTTTCTGGTCAGAATAATAGCTTGTAAGCCTCCACTCTATTTGAGCTGTGTTGGTGAGTTAACAATTCTAGTGTGTGCATGATGGAGCTGGAAGTGACAGTTGTATGTCTGGAGTCTGATGAAGAGCACTTTCTCACAGTGTTCTAAGGGGAACACATGGTATTTTTACTTCCGTACTTGATGCCATGTCAGTTGTTATACTGCTCGTCACAGGCTGTTCTCTCCTGTAGGTGGCCAGCCCTGCCGTGCTGAGTCGGCTTCTAGAGCTGCTCTGTGATTCAGCCTGAGGAGCCAGGGGGAGGTCTGGTTCTTCCAATACACACATGACAGGCTTAAAAGACAACACTCAAGTCTGGGGGAGCATCTAGTCTGTTGTTGCTTGGATAAGCCTCAAAAATTGCTCTCTCCCTACTAGCAATTTAAAAAAATGATCTGTAATGGTTTCTCATGTTTGGGCTAACCGCAGAGTATCAGCATGAACTTAGCTGGCATAAAGTCTTCAGATACCTAATCAGGCTTCCCAGAGCCCTAACTGCAGTCCTTAACTCTGTTGTCTCTGTCTTCTGTTTTCTACACCCTGATGACTTATTGTCATCATACAGCATAATTCTATCTGCTGAAATTCAGACAGCCCAAGGTTTTGTCTCCTATATGGAATATAAGTAAGGGACATTCAGGTGAGGCATAAAGATCTGTTTGGGTGAGGCAATTCTAAGTTTAGAGTTGTAACCAAATCTGTTAGCTTTCCTTAATAAACCACTGTGGCGGAGGGGTTCTCTATATTCATTCAGTCTCACTTGAACCTAATTGTATTTTCAGTTTGTGCAGGTGCCTCTGTCATTCACTCAGAGGCAGTAAAGTACAGTAGTGGAGAGCTTTGGCTCCGGAATCAGGCAAATCTAAGTTAAATTGTAGCCCCACTGCTTATTAGATGTGTCATGGTGGTTAGTTACTTAGCCTTGAAGAGCCTCTTCTGTAAAATGGATATAATAATATTACTAAGGGGATCAAGTGAGATAATATATGTGAAGTACTTAGCACTTCACATACATCAGGTAACTGTTGGGCTCAGGAATGATGTAGGTATGAAAATGCTTCAAGACCCTTGCCCCTTTCTCTAAAGAGTTTATAGTCTTAGTTGGTGGAGGCAGAGGAGCAAAACACTTTTGCAGCTTCGAAGGTAGAAAGTAATAAGGGACAGAAAGATCGTGAAAGAGAAAGGACTTTGAGGATAGGCACATTTTGAGTTGGGCTTTGTAGAATGTGAAGAATGTGGTGTTGAGTGAGGATAAAGCAACCAGCCTGATGGAGAAAGGGAATAAACCCTAAGAGAGGCATCGGACAGGAATGGTGAGGACATGTTAGCATCCAATAGCCTAGGCCTGAAAATTGGGAGGGAGACAGACAAAAGGGGAAGCCAGACTCCACCCAGAAAAATGAGGAAGGATCACAATAGGGGTACATGCTGATTGGAAATGCCATGCTAATGGTCTGGCTTTCACTGGTGGGCCATTGGAGGCTTTGGGGGAAGAGGAGGTAATAAAATCCTGTGATTTGCTATCTATTACTCTACAGCTATAAGAAATACTATCTTTCCTTTGTCCTAAAAATTTTTTAAAATGATTTTTCAGTTTTCTGGAGCACTAAAAATAATCACTTAAATTTGGAGGGTGGACTAATTTTACTTTTTTCTAACCTAACTGGGATAACTTCAGCCAGAAGAAACAGGACAAGGTTTTACCAGAGAGGGGGCAATCAAGTTTCAGCCTGTGGAGTAAAGAAATACGAGGTGAGGGGAGGAGACAGCTTTAAAGGAGAGGTTCCAAAGCCTTCTGCCCACCGGTGCTCTTCACTGTGGTCCAGGTTAATTTGCATTTCAAAGACGACTTAGTACTACTAAATTTTATGTAACTTTTAAACTTCTCAAATGTTTGTTATTTTTGTTAGCCTAGTGGAAATCCTGCAATTGCTCTATTTTTTTTAAAGTCCTAAAATGAGATGAGGAAGCCTATGGGTGTTTATACAAGGTGGGAGAGGGTAGGGTAGGGTCCCAGTCGGGTGGGACCTTACATTCTGTACTGGGAGACTCGGTCCGATAAAGGAAACATCATGGTCCTTGAGAAAGAAAGAGGGAAAGGGGAAGTAGGGGAATAGTAGGGGCCGGGTGTTGGTGTGCCTGTGCAGGGTAACTGGTAACAGGGCTTCATTTTCTGACTCAGGGAGGTAAAAGCGTCATCATTGGCACTATGTGTGGTGAGTCACACAAATCACCGCACTGCCATCCCGAGAGACCCCGGCTCATCTGCCTCCACAACACCGCACTGCTCTTGGACTCGGCACCCCCTGCCCAGGAAGCAGCTCTTTGAATCTGGCCCCATCCTTTCTCTGAAAGCATCTGACCCAGATAGGGACCGAAACTCCCTAGGTGTCGCCTCCCGGGTACCCATGCGCCGCGCCACCGCGCCCCTAGGGAGCTGTCCGCGGTGCTGAATTCTTTCTTTGTCGGCCAGATTCTCTACTCGCGAAGCGTGTTGCAGCCTAGGCGAAGGGCTCGGTGGGTCCCAGGAGGGCGAGGGCCTGAAGGTCTGCAGCGAGCTCCGAGCTCTAAAGTTCAAATCCCTGCCGGAACCCCTATGTGTCTCTGTTAACCCCAGCCTGGCCTCTACGCAGGACCCTGCGCTTAAGCACGGGTCCCTCATCTTTCCCCCACGTCACGTGGTGTATCTCAGTCCCTCACCCCACTCCCTCCTCTGCTCCTTCCTTTTTGAAACTGCACCAGAACATCCTGAGAGCCTGGCGCCTCACGCCCCTTCTCTCCCCTCGTCCAGCACACCCTCCTCCGGAGCGGGACTCTCCCAGGGCACTGCAAGCTCCCGCAGTCGGCACTCTCCCTTGTCCCTCTGGCCCAGGTCCACGAGCCCCTCCTTCCCTTTCTGTTTCCATCCTCCTCACACTGTACTTCTCTCTGGCTGTCTAACCGAGTCTGTCGGTGCGCGCTCCGCCCACCATTTTCCATACAAGGGAGAGCTGGAGCGCAGGGGAGGCGGAGGGGAGGCGCTCCCAGTTCCTCTCAGAAACTGCGAGCCCACTGGGAACTCCTGGATCTGTTCAGCTCCCGCGGAGATCCTAAAAGCTTGCACCGCAATCCTGAGCGGAGGGCCACTAGGGGGAAGCGTGATTCCATCCGCTCCTCCCTCCCCCGAGCACTTTCCCGCCCTCCAGGCCCCACTCACCAGGTAGGTGCATGCTCCGGATCTGACCTGCATGAACTGTGAGGGCTCTAAATTGAGCAGGACGCATTCAAATAAACTGTGCACAGATTTGTTTTTTTCAGAAGTGGGATGACAGCATTTTAATATTGTTATTTATTTTGGCCAGTTATTCTAAAGGGAGTTTTTGAGTGATTGAGGTGTGTGTGTGTGTGCGAGGGAGGGGGGAGGAGGGGGGCGTTGATGTAGGAGGGGGCTGAAAATGGAAAGTGACAGACTTTTATTCTCTTTGGACAGATGACCATGGCCTCACTGCCATCTCAGGGCTCCTGGGTCCCTGACTTATTTTCTGGGCTGCCATCGCCATCCTCACCTCCGGTCAACCACAGCGCAGAGCCCGCAGCGGGCAATGGGTCAGCAGGTGGCGCAGGCGCTCAGGCCGTCCCGCCCTTCCAGGGCCTGCAGCTGGTTCATCAGCTGAAGGGGCTGATTGTGCTGCTCTACAGCATCGTGGTGGTCGTGGGGCTGGTGGGCAACTGCCTACTGGTACTGGTGATCGCGCGGGTGCGTCGGCTGCACAACGTGACCAACTTCCTCATCGGCAACCTGGCCTTGTCCGACGTGCTCATGTGTGCCGCCTGCGTGCCGCTCACGCTGGCCTATGCCTTCGAGCCACGCGGCTGGGTGTTCGGCGGCGGTCTGTGCCACCTGGTCTTCTTCCTGCAGCCTGTCACCGTGTACGTGTCCGTGTTCACGCTCACCACCATCGCGGTGGACCGCTATGTCGTGCTGGTGCACCCGCTGCGCCGGCGCATTTCCCTGCGCCTCAGCGCCTACGCGGTGCTGGCCATCTGGGCGCTGTCCGCGGTGCTGGCGCTGCCTGCCGCCCTGCACACGTACCACATCGAACTCAAGCCACATCGCGTGCGCCTCTGCGAGGAATTCTGGGGGTCCCAGGAGCGCCAGCGCCAGCTCTACGCTTGGGGGCTGCTGCTTGTCACCTACCTGCTCCCCCTGCTGGTCATCCTCCTGTCTTACGTCCGGGTGTCGGTGAAGCTCCGGAACCGCGTGGTGCCAGGCTGCGTGACCCAGAGCCAGGCTGACTGGGATCGCGCGCGTCGCCGTCGCACCTTCTGCCTGCTGGTGGTGGTCGTGGTGGTGTTCGCCGTCTGCTGGCTGCCGCTACACGTCTTCAACCTGCTGCGGGACCTCGACCCCAGCGCAATCGACCCCTACGCCTTCGGGCTAGTGCAGCTGCTCTGCCACTGGCTAGCCATGAGCTCTGTCTGCTACAACCCTTTCATCTACGCCTGGTTGCACGACAGCTTCCGCGAGGAGCTGCGCAAGCTGTTGCTCACCTGGCCTAGCAAGATCGTGCTGCCCCGCCAGAGCACGACAGTCAGTGTGGTCATCTGATGCCACTGCGCTTAAGCACGGGTCCCTCATCTTTCCCCCACGTCTACAGAACTTGACAGGGAGCTCCACGTCCCCTGGTGTCCGAGGGTGTCCACCCGAGGCTGGACTGGAGAGCTTATTCCCAGCACCAGAGCTAAGCCAGTATGAGGCAGAACTTCTAGCTTGGCCCTCTTGTCCAGCTGTCTTGCCTTGTCCTTGTGTCTTTGTAAAATGTTAAGTAGGCTTTAGTGGGAGTCTTGTGCTTTGCTTGGAGGAAGCCAGGGAGAAGGAATAGGATTTATTATTTCCTCCTTATGCCCTTGAATTGACAAACAAAGCTTTTTCTCCTGGTTCAGACTGTAGTTCAGAACCCTGGCTGTCTTCCTTGCTTTCCCTTCTCCTTGCTCAACAGTGAGATGAAGGAACAATGGGCCTGGAATTTAAAATGACTGCGTTGGGATTGCCAAAACTTTTCAGGTTGCCTTTTTGAAAGAGCTCAACTGATACGTAATACCTAATATTGCTTTGTCAAACTGAATCTGTTAATTTCTAGGATTCCAAAGAACTATGTGTTACAAATCTACATCTAGGATTTGATTATTTCCTGAATAAGACACCAGAGGGTTTTAATTCTAAATCCACTTGAATTTATAGTTCAAAAACACTTACAAAGCACCTTTCAAAATGTCTCACTATTATATTCCCCCTCCTTATTCCCCAACTTTTAGTTGAAATTGATGAGATGAATTTGTCAATGAAGAGATAGACTAAGTAGGGGCAAAAAGGAAAAGATCCAAATCACTTAAGAGGGAATATAATTGTGCATAGGACAGATGTCGTATCTGTGTATATGTTTGTGTATACATATACAGTGTTTGTCACAAGGCAGGTGCTCAAATATTTGACTTTCTAAATAATCTGTGTAAGCCATGTTCGGTGGCATTCTCTTGGATTCTCTAATTGCTCAGTTGTAACAGATCGACAGCTGTCATCTGACTGCTCAGCACCTGCTCTGTGGTGACACACTTGGAATATGATCAACCTGTAATACAAGGACTGGGAGAAGTTTACTTAAGGCCAGAACAGAAAAATGAACTGTCAACCAAATGAACACATCTCCTGGGCATCCCAAGGACCAGCTCCTGTGACCACAGCAGCTCTATTACCTAGGAGGCACAAGGCCTGACATTTCACATTTCCTCAGAGCATTCTTTTGATGGGTATGTGTGGAGGATGCAGGGTAAAGGGTGGGATTAGTTGGGGAGTGGGGATATCTGATTAACTGTAGTCTCTTTGTTGAAAGTTTAAATCACTGGTAATCAGCCCTTGATGCCCCTAGAATCACCAGGGGGACTTTCAAAAAACACCAGTGCCTAGGCCCTATCCCCAGAGAGTCTAGTTGATTTGAGATGGGGCCTGGGTATCAGAACTTTTCAAAGCATTTCAGGTGATTTTAATATGCCTCCAAGGTTCAACACCCTAATAATTATCCTCTTTCTAATGAATCTCAGAAATATATGAATGAAGCTTCCATTGTACCTACCAAAGGTATTAAAAATTTGGAATTGAATTCTGATAGGGAATTAGATGCTACACTTGGGGAATACTCTTTTAACCTTCAGACAATACCTGAATCACATAGAGGCAAATCCTTAAATCAGAATATGTATGTATTCATCCAGTTGTTTCCTTATACATCTCCTATGTGTAAGGCACTGTATGAGTCCAATCAGTTTTTTTTTAAAGTATCATCATTTGACTTTAGATCAATTGCATTATAAAGTTACATACCATGAATTATTCTAAATCATGGTCACTGGGGTATTAAAAAAAATTGAAGTGTTCTCTGATTAGCTTTCTTTAAGTCTATATCAACTGTGAGAAGAAAGTGTCCCCATTAATTATCAGAAAAGCTGCCACCTATTTTCTGTCATGCCTACAACTTAAGTTTAAATTTTTAACATGTACAGGATTTTATTGGGAGCCTAAAGAGGTTGGAGAATTATGCTGTGTTTATAAACATCTTCACAAATTCAGCAAATTGGCAACTAAACAGCAACTAATTAATTCTTATCCTATTGGAGGCTGGTTGGACTATAAAACAAACTGATTTTTTTTTGAGAGGGCATCTCTCATATTTATTGATCAAATGGTTGTTAACAACAATAAAATTCTGTATAGGGGAGTCCATGCTCAATGCACAATCATTAATCCACCCCAAACCTAATTTGCATCAGTCTCCAATCTTCTGAAGCATAACGAACAAGTTCTTACATGGTGAACGAATTCTTACATAGTGAATAAATTCTTACATGGTGAACAGTACAAGGGCAGTCATCACAGAAACTTTCGGTTTTGATCATGCAATATGACCTATAAACAATCAGGTCAAATATGAATATTCGTTTGATTTTTGTACTTGATTTATATGTTGATCCCACATTTCTCCTATTATTATTATTATTTTTATTTTTAATAAAATGCTGAAGTGGTAGGTAGATGCAAGATAAAGGTAGAAAACATAGTTTAGTGCTGTAAGAAGGCAAATGTAGATGATCAGATGATCAGGTGTGTGCCTATGGACTAAGTATTAATCCAGGCTAGACAAGGGCAGCAAGACATCCACGGATGCAGAAGATTTCTCTCAAAGCAGGGGGGGTGAGGTTCTGAGCCTCACCTCTGTTGATCCCCAAATTCTCACCTGATGGCCCCCCTGCGACTGTGCCTGTCTTAGGTTGTTCCTCCCTTGAGGAATCTTACCCGTCTCTGGCTAACCAGTCATCTTCCGGGGCCATACAGGGAAATGTAAAGTTGGTAAGTGAGAGAGAAGTAATATTGTTTGAAAAGGTTAGCTTTTTACTTCTTTGCAGATTTGTGCCCTGTGGCTTCTATGCCCAGCATTTGTCTTGAGGTATCTTTACCACTTGGAAGAATTATGACACTCGGTAAATTCGATATGAGGCATGAATTCTATTTAAGGGTTGTAATTAGGAAGGAAGAAGAAAAGCTATAGAAGTAGCAGGCAGAAGAAAACACAAATTGACTTTTTAAAAAATCTCTCAGAAGTGAGTCCTAGAGAAATCCACAGAGGGTTAAGGTAGAACATTTTATTTAATATAATTCATTTTCGTTAATACTAAGCATTCAGTCCTCTTCCTGTAAGGAGTCATACTGGCCATAAAGCTGGGAACTGAGCCAGCCTAGTATTGGCAGCACCTCTTTTAGAGGCTGATGGGAGGTTCTGTAATCCTCTTTGCAAACATTGTCAGCAGTGCTCACTTTTGGCAGCCAATCAATAGATTTATCTCACTAAATCAGCTGGGGAGTATTTCAATGTGGCAATAGTTACCTGGAAATAGCAACTGTGAGAGATGCTAAGGGAACAGTATTCCCATAGATGTAAGCTTCCTGAATCTTTGTTCTTGCAGATTTTCAGCCTGCTCTTCTACTGGGGGTGCTAAGTACCAGGATGTCTTTCTCAGGTAGGCTGTTTAACCACCTCTGTCCTGTGACTTGCATTCCTGAATATCTAGTAGTCCTGCAAATGCAAGGCATGGAACTGACATCAAGGGGACTCAGGCAAGAGTGTGGCTAGATGTGGGAGTGAACCCCAGAGTACATACCCCACAGATGAAAGGTCAGGAGCACCCTTGTTCCCCAAGGTAGATCCTGGATTGATTTCCCTTCTTGCGTTGATGTCTTTGTTATGTGGTAAGATTCATGTGTGGCTGAGTCATTGTGTGAAACTCTTCTGGCTGGGGTTTGAACTGTGCTTGACACATTGTGGGTACTCAATAAACATTAAATCAGTAGTACAGTCTACAGCTGTAGGATTAATAAACCAGGCCAGTTACATACAATGTAAGTACACAACTTCAGGATGAGCAGGGTGAAACAAGGATAAATCATGCCAGGGAAATGCAACTCCATCTAGATTTTGTCAATTCCAGCTAATTCCAGGAATGAACTTTCATTTGGGGTCTTCTGTGATCACCTGGCCCCAACCTCAGTACCGACAGCATTTCCATATATGGCACCAAGCTCTGTGCTCTCCAAGACTGCATGTGCCTAAATCCATCAAAGGGAGAGTAGAGAATTTCATGCTTAATTTCTAAATCATAAGTTTGGATCATTATTTAACTGTTAGCATTTTATCACTCACTTCCACATATAAGAGAAATTTAAAAACATCCAACACATGGATCTATAAACAGAATTTGATCATGTGGACTCTGAAACATTCATGATAGAGTCATAAATAGGATTTTCTGGTACATCTAAAATAAGACTTGAAAACAAATTTATGTACACCTTTGCAAGGATCCATTTATTTTGTAAAGTGAGATAAGTTAGTCTACAGATGTTGGAAATGGAAAATAGTTGTTTGGACGGATGCAAGTTTTAATCTTGATCTGTTAAACTACTGTATGCTTTCAAGCAGTTTTTGGAAGTAGAAAGCCTTATTTTGAAAACTGAGTGTGCACACTCTTAACAGGTTTTGAATTGTTTTGCTCTGCTTTCCAACTCAATTCCTCTTAATTTCCCACTCTTTATTTCTCTACTCTGCATTTTTTTTCTGCTACTTTTCCATATTATCTATAAAACACCTCTGATCTGAAGCTCCCTCTACCCCAGTGGAAGAGAGGTAGTGGGATTCAAGCATTCATTTTCTGGGGAGTTCTTACAAGGTGAATCATGTTGGAGAGATAGCCTGGCTAATTCCTTTGCAGAAGACAGGCTTCACCAAAGAAGGATGCCGCTCACTGCATTTCCTACCCACTGTGAGGTCTGGAGTTCACACAATCGATCATTTTACAGACAAGTTCCAGGCAGAGGTGGAGAATAGGAGTTTGCACAGAGTCTCCACAGGCCCTTAGTGATAAATCTCAGAGAGAACTCTCAAGAGGTGCCTAACAATGAAAGGTCAAATGAGTTTCATTTCGATGTTCGAGGCAGGAGCAAGGAAACCCGAAACAGAAAGAGCAAAGGGCAGTCTTCTCTTTTAAACACTCCGTGCCTCCCTCACTCCCTCAACTCTCAAAAAAATTCTCTTCTTGACTTGCCAATGATTGAATCCCTCAGCCCCAGAACTCATCTCCTCCTTCTGGAATAACATCTAATGATGAATGGAAAGCTACAGCCTTCTCCCCTACCACACAGACTCAGTTATTGTCAAGTTAGGAAAAAAAGCCTTTGAGCTGAAAAAGTTAAAAACTCCAGGCCTGAGCTCTAGGTTAAAAGTCAGGTGCTGGCCTTCTTCCCTGGCCCAGAGCACCACAGCCAGACTTGAGTCTTCAACCTAGGAGGTTGGACAGGTCACCTGGGTGGGAGGCCGGGGTGCAGCCTAACGTGACCCAGGGTGCATGGCTATGTGGGTGTGGCAGAGCAGGTTCCTGTGTGGTCAATACTGAGGCTGCTGCCCATTTCAAGGCAAATGCTGGGGGCACACTGATCTCCTCATTAGTACAAAGAAGACCCAAGGAAGGGTAAGTAGAGGTGGAAAATGCACTCCTAAGTGCCTTAAATGGCCACAACTCTTTCTTTAGAACAAATCTCCATTCTTATTTCCTTCCTACCCCAGTCTCCTCTAGCAAACCTTCCCTTTTCTTTCCGTGATAAAATTACTGAGCTTGGAGCATTTATTCATCAATGTTACTTTCAGGAAGAAGGATGTCTTCTTAGGCTTACAGGGAGACTAAAAAGCAATTTCCACATCTGCTGAGACAAAGCCAAACCACCTGACACAGGCGCTGGAACTGGGCTCCATCCGGGGCTCTCAGGAACCTGCGTGCGTGTGTGCAGCCAAGGAGGTGTTTGACTTACAGCGGAGGAGGCTTCAAAGCCAGAGGATAATGGCTTGGGGATCCGGGACTTCCTGTGGGCCTGCGCGCCCCATCTAGTGCCACCACTAGTGCCTTCCACGTTTGCAAAGGTGAGCTGGCACCAGGGACGGCTGAGCATCCACGGCTCGGCTACTGGGCCATCCTCCTGGCCGAAGGGCAAAGTGCATGCACCATGCTGGCGGCCGTCTGCACCACTGCAGTTCCTGGGCTCATAACGGGCTGTGCTTGTGAGGCCTCGGAGGGAGTCCCGGCAACTTCCTCTTCATCCACGGCGGCAGGAGCACACGGTTCCTGCACAACATGACCAACTGCCTTCTACACTGGCTCCTGTGCCCACCTGCATGCCGCTGACCTTGGCCTACACTCCTGGATCAAGGCCCCGGTGCCCGACGTCTTCCTTTGCACCTCGTGGTCTTGCAGCCCGGTGATCGCGTGGTCTCTGTGCTTCGACTGACTGTCTTATTGTGGGTCTAGAGGAGTTCGTAGCTCTTCTGCCACTGAGCCGCGCGCTGGCGGCGCTGGAGGGGCCGCACGCCTCTGTTGTAGACCTCGTGGCCAAGAGCTCCAGAACCACACGAACGGCAGGCCAGGGATCTCGTGATCCACGCAGCTCCTCTCTTGGCACCGCCGGGCGCAGCCGCCGCGCACCCCCAGGCAGAGCGCAGATGCATGGGTCGTGGTGCCTACTGCGGCCCCCCAGGGGGCCTGCAGTGTCTGCCTCCCGCTACTCCCACCACTTGAAGGCTCTCACCTGCCCTGGAGATTGGACGATCCGTATGGCCAACGCTCGCGGTGTCCCACATCCGCTGTGCCTCTGGTGGACCAGCCCCAGGTGTCTGCGCAGATTGGGAGCCAGGGGAAAAAGCAAGTTCACAAGAAACTAGAACACTCCCCAGACATGTCTAAGTGTGACAGAAGTGATATGTTCACAAGTACCATTGAATTCAGAGGAGCAGCTAGTCACATATGACCTTGGTGGTCAAACAAGTCTTTGTGGCCCAGGTAGCATTTGAGCTAGACTTTGTTTTATACAGGAAAACAGACATCTAGGGAAGTCAAGTAATTTATCAAGGTGTCCCAACTAGTAGGTGGTGGAGCTGGGATCTGAAGTCCAAAGGCTGCACCCCTATTCCTGTAATATCTTAACTTGCATTTCAACCGAAGGAGTCTGGCCCTTTTTGGGAGGCAGTAGGGAGCTACTAAAGGTTTAGAATGAGTGGGAGATAAAAGAGTAACTTGTTCAAAAACATACTCTAGGACCTAACGCTGCCTACAGGGAAAGTGTTTGTTGGGGAGAGTCAAGAAGCAGGGAGATGAGTTAGAGAACAATGGCCATCGTCTGGGAGAGGGAGAATAAGGATCAGAACTCGGGCAGTTAAAGTGAGGATGAGAAGAGACAGGTAGGAAAGGCCTTGAGGGAAATTAGCATCAGATGTCTGAACATCTCGTCTGGTTAAATGTTTCCTCCTTACCCTATTTACATTAGAAAAAAAAGGTAAAGTATAGGATCTGTGCCACGGGCGCTTAATAACTGCATCAATCAGGACTGTTTTCTGTAGAAAGTTAACAGAAAACTCACCATAAGGCATAAATCCTAAGGCCCTTTATTATCTGATGTAATATCAGTCTGGAGGTGGGCAGGTCCCAGACGGGCCCAGAAGCTCAGGGATGTCACTGAGGATTCAGGCTCTTTCTGTCTTTGCTCCTTGCGTCCTTGACTGATCTGTCTTTATCCCCATGCTGTCGCCTTGTGTCTTCTAGATGGCTGTTGAGACTCCAGATACTCTTCCACAATCGAGGCAAGAAAAAGGGGGAGGGAGAAGCACCAACGGCTTTCCTCTCATGCAAGAAAGCAGAGGCCTTCCCAGAAGCCCCCCAGCATAATTCCCTGTATGTCTCATTGGCCAGAATTGGGTGACATACCCCTATCTGCAAGGGAGGCTGGAAAGAAACTCCTTTCCATCTTTAATGGGAGGCTGATAGTGGCCGTTGGGCTACCCAGCACATTGTGACAGCTCCAAGTCCAGGGGCGTTGCCTTCTTTAGGCCTTGTTCCATATTCGGGGAAGAAATGAAATGGAACACATACATTTATTGGGTTCTGGGAAGCAGCAGACGGCAACCTGGGGAGCTCTGGGGATGAGTTCCTGCTGCTTCCCCCAGCTGGATGGTGCCGTGATGCACGCTTTCTGAGTGGTCAGCTGCATCTCAGTGGAATGCTGTCAGAAGGCCGACGTTAGTTTCTCAGTAACAAATACACATGAGGTATTCATAAAGCCTGGGAGCTTGAAGGCCATGCATACGGATGAAAGAGTAATGTAGAGATATTAAAGATGTTAAGGGTCTTACTGTCTGGTCAGCTCTAGGTTTTGTTTTGTTTTGTTTTCTAATCATGTAAATTCATTCAGATGATGGCCACGGGGGAAGTCAGAGTTATCTGCTTTGTCCTGAACTCCCAAATGCAGAACCCTGGCCATCTTAAGGTAATTTCACCAGTGTGGATTCCTGGTCTGTCCCATAGTTGGGGACACTGGGCAGCTGTTGCCATTTGCCACTACAAATCTAGTCATCATCCTCTGAAGGCCAGAGCTAGTGGGTCTGTCTGCTGTGTGCTGCTTGCAGCTTTGGGTTTTAAAACCTGGAGTCCCCTGGAAGAAGCTTCCAAAGTCCTTCTGGAGGCATAGTCACTCTGGATCATGCCAGAATCTCACCAGAACCCCATAGGGGCAGGCCATGGGAGGATCTGTGTATTACAGAAATCCTACCTGTCTGAGTTTCCCAGGGCCATAATAAAGTACTATAGGTGAGACTTCACAAACAGAAACTGTCTCACATTTCTGGAGTCTGGGAGTCTGAGATGAGGGTATCCTTAGAGTTGGTTCCTTCTGTGGGTCACGAGGGTGAATTGTTCTATGCTTCTCTTCTGGCTTCTGATGGTTTGGGGGCGATCTCTGGTGTTCCTTGGCTTGTAGAAGCATTTCCCTGATCTCCGTTTTCCTCTTCCCATAGCTTTCTCCTGTGTGTGTGTCTGTATCCAAATGTCTCCTTTGTATACGGATGCCGATTTGATTAGACCCCACTCTAATGCCCTCATTTTAACCTGATGACCTCTGTAAATAAGGTCACATTCTGAGGTACGAGGTGCTATGGTATGAATGTTTGTGTCCCTCCGAATTCATATGTTGCAATCCTCGCCCCCAAAGGTGATGATATTAGCGGTGGGGCCTTAGGGAGGTGATTCGGTCATGAGGGTAGAGCCCTCAGGGGTAGCTCAGTTGGTCCTAAATTTGGCCTGGTACGCCAGGATTATCACCTATAATGTCCTTTTTCCTGTTCCAGTGCCTTCTGCCTGGATTATCCCTCAGCCCCAGGTTCTTCTCCTGGCTGGGTATGTTGCTTCCTTCAGGTCTCAGCTTAAAAGTCACCTCCTCCAAGAAGCCCTTTCTGAGTGCTTCATTAAAAGTAGATCTGGATTCTTATTCTTTGATTTAGCCACTCCTTTGTTCTCTTCACAGCACTCATCACAATTTGTAGTGACACATTTCTTCATCCTTCTCTACAGATGTGACCTCCATGGGGACAGAGTCCGTATCTGCTTTAATTACCAGTGTATCCCCAGAGTCTGGTGTGCAGCCTGGCACCTCACACACATGCTTGTATGTATCTGATCTCCACCACAGTGCCAGGGGGTAAGTAGGGCATTTGTGGAGGGGGCAAAGAAAGTGACTTACCCACATTGCAGTGCTAGCAGTGGGGGACTGGGATTCAGGTCCCCGCCTCCTGGCTCTGAGCTGGGCCCATCCACCATGCCGTGCTGCCCTGGAGGTTTGGAGTTTCAAGCTTTGCCTCAGCATCTGTCTTCACTGAATCACACCCCTTCAGAATTATCCATCCAGGTTTCAAAAAATACAGGTTCCCAGTTCCTACAGAGACCTACTAGATAAGTCTCTTTGGTGTAGAATCATGTATTTAAAGAATGGTGTTTGGAGACCAATTAAAAAACATGCTGACCCAGTAGACATGTTAAAAATAAAACTCTTGCTAGAAAACACATCTCTGTGCTGCTGTTCACCTGGCATTCTGGTAGTGAATGGCAGACACCAAGGAGGATGCTTCTCAGGTGCCTTAATGTGGAAGGCATGGTCTCCTTTGAGCATTTTCTCAGTCCAACTTCTACCAAGAGCTGAGACCTACCAGGGTGAAGGGAGCCCCCAGGGCCTCAGCACATCCATGCTCTCTGCAGTCCCCTCGAGCACCTGGAGGGTTGGGCAGTGCACACAGTGGGCGCTCATGTCCTCCACCCTTGTTAGGCACGCACAGCCTGAGTGCTGGCAGTCATGTCTTTTCCAGATTCCTACTCTGTGCCAGGATCACACATCTCCAGCACCATGGCAGCCCTTTGAGGCTGACATTGTTGTCCTGGTTTTACAGGTGAAGAAACTAAAGCTCGGAGAAGTCATTCGCCCAAAGTCGGTGAGAAGCATTGGGATTTGGATCCAGGTCTGTCTAGTTTCAAAGCCCCTTCCTGTCACGTTATCCCGCATCACACAAGTGACATAATAGGGACAAATAACAATATAAGAATTGCTGCATTTTATTGAGCATAGACTACATGCCTGGAAGCCTAGAATTTCAGAGATAGGTAGACAGTAACTCTGTGAGGTAGATGCTATGATTACCCCCCACATCCTAATGGAAGGAGTTAAGTAGTGTTTGTGGCCATTTGCATTTTATAGGTCAGGAAACTAAGTCATGAAGAGACTAGGTAGCTTGCTCAAGATCACATGACTTGTAAGTCATTGGCAAAGTGGGGAATCAAATTCAGGCAGGCCACTCCAAAGCCTATATTCCTTCTGAAGAAGCATGTGTTTTCCATTGTGGTGACGGGTTATACTGGACCGTACACTCTCTGTCCCTGTGCGCTGTGTTTGCCAGTGTCCTTTGATGCCCAGACATGGTCTTCTGGCACAGACTGCACAGGGGCTGGCTTTGAGATAAGGCCCAAGCCCACAGTGGGCCTCCCAAGCAAACTCATGCCCTCATTGGATGCCCCCCAAGTGAGATCTGAAGTTCTATCAATAGATGGAATGCCTTGCTTCCTTCCTTCTTCCCTCCTCCCCTCCCTCCTTCACTCTCTCTCTCCTTCCTTCCTTCTAGCCAACATTATTGCCCATATCTTTCTCCCTCTGCTAGTGGTTGTTTTCCACTTGGGTGGAAGGATGGAGGATGCTCTGCTACTTGAATGAAAGCCCTACTAAATACACAAACCCACGAGCGGCTTATCAGGGCCTTGCTACTCAGGGGCTCACTGTGATGATCAAGAGGTGATGACGTTCTGGGACTGCAGCTAGGGCCTGACGAGAATCAGCCTGCCTGGATTAAGAAAGGAAAGCTCATGGTAAGAAAGTACTTGTCAATTTCTCATGCTTACTGTCAAGGTAGTTGGGGTGTGTATCCTAATGAATCCATTCACGAAGGGTAATTTGGTTTGGGGTTCATTTAAGACCCAGGAAAGCATACCCATCGTCTTTCCCCAAGGGCAGCATACCTGCTCGTCGTGCTCTTTTTCAGCTGCCAACCAGACGCAGGGAATAGGCCACCTCCCTGACGCCGCAGCTGATGGAAGAGCCTTGCCTGTCCCAGCAACAAGGCTGGTCTCTGTATCTGACTGTAATCTGTCACTCTGGGACAGGCCAGGCACTGCCCACGTTACAGAACTCTGTGCCAGCTGGGACTTGGAGGAGATGGAGGGCTTCCCACTGGCCAGTTGTGCCGCAAAATAAAACACCCTACTCCAGTAGGTGGGAGATTCTGAAACACATGTAGAGTCTAAGACCCCCAAAAAGACCCCTGAGGGAGCATCTGGTCCAGTTCCTGCATTTAACAGAGTAGGTGACTGAAGTCCAGAGAAGGTGTGGGGCTTATCCCAGGCTCTGCAGCCTGTGTTAGAGGCACAGTAGGGACCCACCCTAATGATTTTGTTTCAATTCTATTTAATTATTTTTCTGATTTTATGAGTAATTAGTTTTATTGTTAAAATAATCTTATTATTAAACAATACATAAAAGCATAAGGAAGAAATGGAAAAATGTAAGTGGTTTCTCTAGCTCTACAAGCATGTTATTGTGCATTTATGTAGGACCAGGCTTATTTCAAACACCATCAAGAATAAAGTAGCCAGTGGGAATACAACAATTGGCTGGCAAGTGAGTTGTAATTGCCCACTGGTTGATGAGTTTTCTTTCAAAACAATTTATTGAAAACACACACACACACACACACACAGACACACACACACACACACACAGCTTTTACAATGACAGCAGGCCAGCTGGACACAGTTCCAAGCAGAAATGTTGATTTGTATCCAGTGATACTATTTGAGCTGTCGTGGAGCGCCTGGCTGAGCTGTAGGATTCTGGAAAGACATAGTGGGATTCACATGTGCTTTTTCCACTCTGTAAGAGTTCCTGTTAGGCACCAATGCTTGCAAGTTGGGTTACCAGGAAGCAGGCTGGAGATTAGCCAATGGTGTACTCATTAGGAGGTGCTTTTGTCATCCATACCTGGGGAAGGGGAGAGCAGCATGATTGGCACACGGAGGAGTTGGTCCGTGGTCACTGTCCATAGAGGCTGCAGCTGATCCTACAGGTTACTCTGAAGTTGAGGTGACCTTTCAGAGTTGTCTTGAGCTGGGGTAAGGGCTGGGCCCTGATTTATAGGTGAGTCAAAAATAAAGGTCAGTTCTTTTCTGATCCCAGTTCACAGACCCACTGAATTCTTCACATTGGCTAACAGCCCTTGCTTTCAAGGAACAAATTCAATAGATTCTTAACCTCATGCCCAGAGCAGCAACAGAAGATCCTGTTAGCTGGGATTTCTGGCAGAGACTAAAAACAGCAACAACGAAAAATCATTTGAGACCAGAAGCCCACAGTGGTCAATAAATGAGATGATCAGACGGAGGCAGCCAAGAGCACAGCTGGATCTGATTAGAGAATGACAAGAAGCTGTGTTTCTGGGCCAGACACTGGATCTCAGGGAGTCCTGCCACCAGAGCCATAGACGCCATGTCCGTCAAGCGGGAAAGCTCAGCAAATCCCCGTCTTTGCAGTCACCCAGGGAGAGTCCATCTGAGAAGGGCACGTGTCTTTGGCAATTCAGCTGGCAGAGTTTAGGAAGAGGAGGGTTTCCCCCACCCCTTCTGACAACCAGCCATTTACCCGCTCTGTGCCTGTTCCTGCTGCACAAAAGCGATTTTCTTTTGAGGACATTGTGTTCTGAGCTTGGGCATTCAGGACCTGACAGTAACCATCCGGGCAGCCCCAGATTGGCTTGGGAAATGCACTGCGTTTTCACAAAAGGCAGGCCTGCTTTGTGCAGCCTTGGAGGGAAAAATGCTACATCTGCGAGAAAATGAAATAAACACCCCAATATACAAGTTGCCAATTTGATCCTATTTGTCTGGGGCAGTCCTGATGCAATTTGAAGGACAGTTGGAAGTTTCTTTTGCCTCGTTCCTTGCTTTTCTCTCTTTCCATTAAAGTTATAAATAACTGTGCCTCGCATTTTAATGAACGGGAGTGGTGTGAACAACCAGAGGTTTCAGGAGGAAACCTGGAATAATGGTGCAGTTGCTAAGGAACGGGGCTGGACAAGTTAATTTTGTTGGCATAACATTTCCTCGTTATTTAATCTAGCGTATTCATTTCATCCATCTGTCACCATGTTGCTGAAGCCCCGAGGAGCTGCTAATTGCAACACCAAGGTTGAGAACAGACCTGTCCAAACCTTTGTGTAAATTTCAACTGTCAGAGTGGAGACATGAACTTTGAGTTTGCTGTTGGAGACACCACCCTCTCCTGTTTAGAGCAGAAAGCCGGCAAGGGCCTGGCCACTCAGTTTCTGCAGACCATCTCTGGCACATCCCAGCAGTAGCTCTGTGCCCTTGCTAGACATTCGTCAGCTGGGCTGTTTTTTTAAAAAAAAGAAACAGTGTGGATTCTGATGTAATCGGTACAAGGATGGGATTAAAGGAAAATTCCCCTAAGGGATCCCAATGGGCCACCCAGGGTAAGAGCAACTGATTTTATAGAATCACCATCTTTCCACTGCTGTGTCTCATTTTCACAAGTTCCAGAGCCTCTCGGATTTTTGTAGTCTCCTAATCACTTCCTCTGTATCTCATATAAAATAATGACGATAATGAACTTTTAATGAGAGCTCACTGGATACCAGGCACAGAGCTATATGTTTTACTGCACAATCTGTTGGAATCCTTTGAACAATCTTGTAAAGTGTAGCTTTAATCTTGTAATCTTGTAAACATACAACACTGCGTGTGTTTAAGGTGTACAATGTGTTGGTTTGATATGCTATATATTACAAAATGATTACTACCATAGCCATTAACTAACACCTGCACCATGTCACACAATTACTGTTTTTTTTTGGTCTGTGTGGTGTGAACATTGAGATCTACTCTTTGAAGTATGTAATACAGAATTGTTATCTATAATCTATATCTATAATGCTCTAGATCCCCAGAACTTATTCATCTTATAACTGGGTGTTTGTAGTGATTGACCAACATCCTTCTACCACCCTCCCCACCCTGTAACCACCATTCTAGCCTCTATTTCTTTGAGTTAGACTTTTTTAGATTCCACATGTAGGTAAGGTCATACAGTGCTTGTCTTTCTCTGTCTGACTTATTTCACTTAGCGTAATGCCCTCAAGGGTCACTCACATTGTCCCAAGCGGCAGGATTTCCTTCTTTCTCATGGCTGAATAATACACATATATATGTATGTATAATATTTTCTTTATCCACTGATGGACTCTTAGGTTGTTTCCATACCTTGATTATTATGAATAATGTTGCAATGAACATGGGGGTGCAGATATCTCTTCTAGACCCTGGTTTCATCTGAAAGGTTAGCTGTTATCATCTTTACTACCATTGAGCCAGCACTCAGAGGCTTCCCTACTCCCCCTATGGCCCAGAGACCTCAGTGTCCAGCACAGTGTCTGGATTCCAGGTGCTGGGCCGCTCCAAGGCTGTCTCTGGGCTTCTGAAAGCTGCTGCCTGTTTCAAACACAAGCAGTTGACCCCAGAGACCGAACACTTACCTCTGCCTTTGATCTATGAAACCATATCAGGCAGCAAGGACCTTTCTTCAAATGTTTTAGTAGGAGCTCTTTCAGTGTCAAGAGAGAAACCGAACTCAAACTGGCTTTAGGCAGAAAAGGAATTCACTGGCAGACACTGGTTGACTCAGCTGAAGGGCCCAGGCTGGCTTTAGGTATGATGCATCCAGGGGCTCACATAAGGTCCCCAGGCTTCTGTCTGTCTCTCCAGTTGCCCGAGCTCCTCTCCTCTGTGCTCCTCTGGAAGTGCAGGCTTACAGCATAACTAGTAAATCCCACTGTAAAGAATTTCTAAATCCCAATAATTCCAACAAATATCATGGAATGGGCTTGGATCAGATCCACTTGTTCAGGCCAGCAAGACAACAGTATCTAGACTGTCGCCTGCTGGCTCCAAATGGAGAAAAATGCTTTCCAGGTTTCAACAAATCAAACCAACTCCATATTTCACAGCCATCTAAAACGTGAACAGGCTGGTGCTGACAACTCGCATGAGTCCGTCTTTAGCTTGTTTTCACAGACAAGAGTCTGGGTTTGAAGAAAAATTGGATTTGGGTGGGGGAAGAGGAAGCTGCCTGGAATACCGGCCTCCAGGACCAGGCTTATTTCAAACACCATCAAGAATAAAGTAGCCAGTGGGAATACAACAATTGGCTGGCAAGTGAGTTGTAATTGCCCACTGGTTGATGAGTTTTCTTTCAAAACAATTTATTGAAAACACACACACACACACACACACAGACACACACACACACACACACACACACACACACACACACACACACACAGCTTTTACAATGACAGCAGGCCAGCTGGACACAGTTCCAAGCAGAAATGTTGATTTGTATCCAGTGATACTATTTGAGCTGTCGTGGAGCGCCTGGCTGAGCTGTAGGATTCTGGAAAGACATAGTGGGATTCACATGTGCTTTTTCCACTCTGTAAGAGTTCCTGTTAGGCACCAATGCTTGCAAGTTGGGTTACCAGGAAGCAGGCTGGAGATTAGCCAATGGTGTACTCATTAGGAGGTGCTTTTGTCATCCATACCTGGGGAAGGGGAGAGCAGCATGATTGGCACACGGAGGAGTTGGTCCGTGGTCACTGTCCATAGAGGCTGCAGCTGATCCTACAGGTTACTCTGAAGTTGAGGTGACCTTTCAGAGTTGTCTTGAGCTGGGGTAAGGGCTGGGCCCTGATTTATAGGTGAGTCAAAAATAAAGGTCAGTTCTTTTCTGATCCCAGTTCACAGACCCACTGAATTCTTCACATTGGCTAACAGCCCTTGCTTTCAAGGAACAAATTCAATAGATTCTTAACCTCATGCCCAGAGCAGCAACAGAAGATCCTGTTAGCTGGGATTTCTGGCAGAGACTAAAAACAGCAACAACGAAAAATCATTTGAGACCAGAAGCCCACAGTGGTCAATAAATGAGATGATCAGACGGAGGCAGCCAAGAGCACAGCTGGATCTGATTAGAGAATGACAAGAAGCTGTGTTTCTGGGCCAGACACTGGATCTCAGGGAGTCCTGCCACCAGAGCCATAGACGCCATGTCCGTCAAGCGGGAAAGCTCAGCAAATCCCCGTCTTTGCAGTCACCCAGGGAGAGTCCATCTGAGAAGGGCACGTGTCTTTGGCAATTCAGCTGGCAGAGTTTAGGAAGAGGAGGGTTTCCCCCACCCCTTCTGACAACCAGCCATTTACCCGCTCTGTGCCTGTTCCTGCTGCACAAAAGCGATTTTCTTTTGAGGACATTGTGT